AGTGAGTCTGAACTAAGCCAGTGAGTGGCCGTGAAGATGGAGAAAATATAGGTAGGAGTGAGTTAAGAGAGCTTGGTGATTAACTGAAAGTCAAGTAGGATGAAGAGCCAAGGATGACTCCCAGATTCCTGACCTGGGCCACTAAGTGGATAAGGAAGCCATTCACTGTCATGGGGGACACTGGGAAACAGGTTTGTGCCAAATATAAGCTCATTTTGGTAAACGGTGAATTTGTGCTGCTTGTGGAATACCAAGGGGGCAGTTGCTTTCTGTGATCCGGAGCTCAGAGAGGTCTGGGTGAATGACAATTTTGAAGTTGTCACTATACAGGGTCCTTAAAAATCATGGGAGTGACTGAGATCATCTGGGGAAGTGAAAAGAGAAGAGGGCTCCAAAGCAGTGGCAAACCATCGGGCGTCCCTGCTCTCAAAGTACTCTTTCTCATGCAGTGGGGGAGTCAAACCTGGCAGAAAGCCTCGTAATACAAGGAAGACTAGCTCTGTACTTTAGCAAGGGATGGTCAGAGAATTTGGGGCTCCGGAATGCACCGGGCGTGGTGCTAGGCTAACTTGGAGAGACCAAACTTGCTCCTGGTTAATTCAGCTGCGGGGGAGAAAAGGAAACACGGAAATGCAGTTGTGAGACCTAACACAAGGTGGCGCTTCAACATCTCCTTGTGCCAGATTTTCTTCACCCTGCACTCAGCCAGGCCCAGATCATAGTAGGAAGTTGTCAAAGGCTGGGAGGAGGGTAGTGGTGTCAACAATAAAGGAGGCAGGCCTGAGGTTTTTTTTTTTTTTAACATAAAGTCCAAATGCAAGCTCACTTTTTGAAAAGAAAGGGAAAGATTGGAGCATGGGGAGAGAGCAATGTGCCAAGTAAGCCAAATGGTAGTCTATGTACGCGGTCAGGCAATTAAGTTCTGGAACTCATCCTAGAAAAAGTGCTACATACCTCATTGCTGAATATCACTACGGTCACCTTCGAAGTACTCCCCTTGGGAAGCTATGCACCAACGCCAGTGCCCAGTCCACCCTTCAAAGCAATTTTGGAACTCTTTTTTCTGGAATGGCCATCAGAGCTGTCGTTGTATTACCCTGGATGTCCTAAATGTCATCAAAATGTCTTCCTTTCAACATTTCCTATATCTTTGTGTAAAGAAAGAGGTCACTGGGGGCCAGATCAGGTGAGTAGGGAGGGTGTTCCAATACAGTTATTTGTTTACTGGCTAAAAACTCCCTCACAGTGCTGTGTGAGCTGGTGCATTGTTGTGGTGCAAGAGCCACAAATTGTTGGTGAAAAGTTCAGGTCGTCTAACTTTTTAACGCAGCCTTTTCAACACTTCCAAATAGTAAACTTGGTTAACTGTTTATCCAGTTGGTACAAATTCATAATGAATAATCCCTCTGATATCCAAAAAATTAGCAACATCATTGCAACAAGTTCACCAAATTAGTTTTCAGACCTCATATGTTTGAACTTGTGCACCTACGTGTCAATATATGTTCTGTGTTCCCATGTTGTATGTGTTTCCCATGAGTGTCTCTGTGCATGTTATATGTCCCATGTGCCCAGGGGTGTCTGCATGTGTACCCCATGCACATCCCAGGCCTCTACATGTGTATATGTGTCCCAAAGAGGGGGCAACCTGCAATGTCCACCTCCATGCCTCAGATGGTGAGGAGTCCTTAGACCCTAAAAGAAAAAGGCAACAGAGTCTGCAACCAGAGGGTCCTGAAGTTTTTAGGAGCCCCCCAAAGCAGCAGCAGACTATGGAGAACATCTTCTCCCTTGTAGCCATAAGCAAAATCACTTATTTTTCAGGTTATCCTCCTCAGATTCATGGGTTCTATGTCTAGCTACCCAGGGTCATGCTCACATGGAGGCTTCTTAAAGGATCCCTCAATAGACTGAGGGATTCATAAACTCATCCATTTATCATTTCTTCAGTAAGCATTCATTGAGCACCTGCCATGCACCAAACCCAGTGCAGGACACATTTTCTGTTTCTCCTTTCATCTTCTTGCAAAGTAGTTCATGAGGCAGGAAAGCAAAATTAGTTGCAGCTGCAAAGAGCTTGCAATGGTGGTTAGAGTGTTGAAACCTTTTTTCCTTGAAGGTGGTGCATGGGGAGCCCCAGGAGAGTTATCAGTAGGGAGGTAACATGGTCTAGTCACTTTCGTTGTTAAATGGAATTGGAATTCCATTTAACAGATTGCCAGACCCCACCCCCAGAGTTATTGATTCAGCATATTTGGGGTGGACCCCAAGAACTGGCACTCCCAACATGTTCCCAGTTGTTGTACGTGATGTGGGTCCAGGGACCACATTGAGAACTACTGGTCTATAAGAAAGAGTATGGTAGCTTAATCCATGAGGAGCAGCTTATGAAGGGAGAAGAAGGTCCGAGTCTGGGATGACTATTTTTAATTTGAAGGAGGTGGTGTCATTTACGGAACTATAGAACACAGGAGAAGAAGCAGGGTGGTGTTGGTGGTGCGGTGAAGATGTTGAGTTCAGTTTTTGGACTTGGAAAGTTTCAGATGTCGGCAACAAGGTGTCTGGAGGAAATATCCAGCTGGCAATTGCATCTGTGGGTCTGGATTTCTAGTGAGAGAGACAGACTGGAGATGACAAGGTTGGGAGATAACAGTGGACAGGTAGACATTAAAGTTTTGAGAGGGGATGAACTCACTCATGAAGATTGTAGAAGCTTCAATTCTGAGGATAAACAACTGACATTAAGGATGTGGGTAAAAAGAGAGAGGATATAGAAAAGAAGACTCAGAAGTGGCCAGAGTAGAAAGGAGGAGAATAAGGTAAGAAGGGTGCAGGGAAGTAGGGGGAGGAAACCCAAGGACGTCACTGGGCAGGCAGCCTGTCCTGTCATTCTGGCTTTCCCAAGCCTGCTGGCGACAGCAGAGGATTCCCACAGCTGGGCACGGGCATTATCAGCCTTGCTGCTCCTGGACTTCTCCCAAAGGGGTCCACCAACCCGCATGCCATGCATGACACACATATACATGTCCTGGAGCCTGACTTCTGGTGTGGCTGAAGTTGAGGGTGGGGGAAAGAGGGGCCTCACCAGACTTACCAACCCCACCCCCCGCCACCCATATATAGACACACACGCAAACATACTCCTGACCCTTCTGATCTGTCCTGGGCACAAAGCTTGCAGAGTCGCCCAATTCTGCTTCATCCACCACTCTAGCTGGTGGGTCCAGCCTTCAGAAAGTTCTTAGGGGGCGAATCCTTAGCTACTTTCGGCCTCCTCCTTCCCGGAAAATCACACACACACACACCCAGCCCAGGCTGAGATAACTCAGACCTGAGCTCTGCATCTGCCATGTGCCTTCTCATTCTCCCAAGTCTCCTCCATGTACACTCCATGGGTTAATGGTGTTACTTCTGTTGCCCCTTCTCCCCTATCTCAATATTTTTACCTTTATGTTCTCATCTTCCACTTCACTAGAAAGAGCCCTAAGAAAACATCTAGTCTTCTCTACCCTACCCTATATTTTTGTTGTTGAAGTTGCGGAAACTGAGATCAGAGAGGAAAAGGGACTTCCCAGGATCACAGGTCAATTGAAGTCAGGACTAAATTCTAGGCACCTGAGTCTCAGGCAACACAGACTAGGAATTCTGAGCACAGAGAGGAGCTAAAGGTGGACTACCCCAGCGCTGCCACTTAACTAGCTGCTTGATCTTGGGCAAGTCAGTTCACCTCTTTGCCTCATTTTCTTCACCTGAGAATGGGGATGATAAGGGCATCAATTTCATAGGGCTGTTGTGAGGGTTAAATAGCTCAGTAGCCATCAAGCCCTTAGCACAGAGTCTGACACACTCTGTAGTGTTCGCTGTGACTATTTCTACTATGCCATGGTCTGAGCATCTTCTGGCTTTTTTAAATCACCTTCCTTCTGTTTTCTTAATTCTCATTCCCCTTAGCATTCTTCTCATTTCCCTTTCTTTAATCCCTGTCTCTCCTTCTCAGGAGGGGAGGGTTGGGTTTGGGGAAAAAGAAAGACGAAGTGACTGCAGAGATTGGAACATGCTTGAGAGCTGGCCAGTGCCTGCCATGGTAACACACGGCCTGTGCATGTTAGTGTAACAATAGCATACGGTCCACACAGTGTCAGTTACACGCAGGTGCACTCAACAGTCCCACACTCAATCAACCTGTGGCTTCAGAAACACCTTGAGTCCTTCTCAGGTGGAACACATGCCCATCCTCAGTCCCAGGCAACTCTCTCTAGCCAGATGGTGTCTCCAGCTTCCTCAGACCCAGGGCTTGGCACTGGCAGTTACCAGCCTGGGAAAGCCTAAGTGGGCACCGTCAGAGGCTCTGTGATCCGGAAACATTCCGAGAGACTGTGATGGCCCCCTATACACACACACACTTACATATATACACACAGACTGACACGCGTGTACATGAGTCGGAGGCCTTGAGTCTGCAGCTCACAAACTTCTTCCACGTTCACAATTGCCCACCTCTTCCACACTCCAGTGAGGTGGGTAGAGAAAGGACTGATACCCTTTTTACAGACAAGGAGCTGAGGCCAGGGAAGAGCAGTGCTTTGCTCAAAGGCAAAGAAGCAATACAGCCCAGACGCAAACCTAGGGCCCCTATGTCCCAGCCTCCAATCCTTTCCCGTTTCACGGCAGCTGGGGATTCTTCGAGCCTAGAAGGCGGCTGAGACCTTCGGGGGTTGGATTCCTGCCCCCACTCTGTCACACCGCCCCACCACCATCACCACAACCCATCCTGTGGGGTCGCGCCAAAGCCACGCCTTCCCTTGAGCAGTCGCTGGGGAGAAGGGAGAAGGGAGAAAGCAGCCACAGCGTGTCTCTTTAATGCGCGCCCCCGGAGGCCTGGCGCGCCCCCGCCACTATAACTGGAGTGCATGGAGCAGGCTGCGCTCAGAGGAAGAAGGGCGGGCGCTGGGTACCCGTTGACCGACTTTTCCAAGTGCGATCAGCGCCCATCTAGCCCACGTCCAGCCCCCATGGACTCGCCCGGGGGCGCCCACAGTTGAGGACCCGAAGCCCACTGGGCTCGGGGCTGGGTTGAACCTCGCCGCGGCCAAGTAACCCCCCTGCGGGGTGGGAAGGGTCCTGCGCCTCTTCCCGCAGCGCTGGCCGTCGGGCAAGGGATCCGCTGCCGCCACGCCTCGCGCCCCACGCCCCACGCCCCATGCTGGTACACACTTACTCCCCCATGGTGAGTAGTCTCGGGTCCGGGGACGCGGGGACATCAGGAAACCTGAGTGCTGGACCTTTTGAGCGTCCTCCTCCAACGAAATCTCGGAGGGAGGGGGCCACAGAGACTCCGCCAGCTGAAAACTGTGCGCGCAGGAGACCGCTGTCCCCAGCCTGAGGCTCCTGCGCCCGCGGGTCACTCAAAATAGACCTCGAGTCCCGGGAAGCGGGTAGGACGGCAGCCGAACCCACGCGAGCTGTTCAAAAGGAATGTCCTTTCGGGCTGGGCTCTTTCAGCTGCCGGTGGGTCGCCTAACGCGTCCCTCTCCTTCCCCAGGAGCGCCCCGACGGGCTGGGCGCAGCGGCTGGCGGGGCCCGCCTGTCATCTCTGCCCCAGGCGGCCTACGGACCGGCGCCGCCACTCTGCCACACGCCGGCCGCCGCTGCTGCCGCCGACTTCCAGCCGCCCTACTTCCCGCCGCCCTACCCGCAGCCACCTCTGCCCTACGGCCAGGCGCCCGACGCCACCGCCGCCTTTCCCCACCTGGCCGGCGACCCGTACGGCGGCCTGGCGCCTCTGGCACAACCGCAGCCTCCACAGGCTGCCTGGGCCGCGCCCCGCGCTGCTGCCCGCGCCCACGATGAGCCGCCCGGCCTACTGGCACCGCCCGCCCGTGCTCTGGGCCTAGACCCGCGCCGCGACTACGCCGCCGCTGTGCCCAGGCTCCTGCACAGCCTGGCTGACGGCGCACACGGCCTAGCCGACGCGCCCCTCGGCCTCCCGGGGCTGGCGGCACCGCCCGGCCTGGAGGACCTGCAGGTGAGGCCCGAACGATCGGGATGGGCCAGACCCGCCACGGTGATTTAGGACTCTGGCTGGAGGCAGGTGACGAATGCGGGAAGCTGACTTTTCTCCCAGCCTGCCACTTCTCACTCGTGACCCCGAGGATGTGTCCCACGTCCTAGGTTAGACGCTGCCTGGACATTAAGGCAGCCTGACACTGAGTCGGTGAGCGGTGCCAGGATGGCGGCAATCCTTAGTGAAGTAAACGGGCAGGGGCTGGGCCACGTAGGGCATCTATGCCCACTCCCGGTCTGCTGGTGCAACCTGTGCCTAGAGCGAAGAGAGGCCGAGGAGTTGCCTGTCTAAGGTTCAAAGTTCCCTTATGGCACGGGGAGGTACCCAGGGCCCAGATCGGCCTCACAGATGGTGCTGAGCCTCGGTGAAACCTCGTCCGCTCGCCGCCTCAGGCGACAGTGGTGCGCATCGGGCGAGCAGACAGAACAGGGACAGCAGGGGCTTGGGAAGCAACAGGAGACTGTGTCCACAGGCGCCCTTACCACCGCCTCTCCTATTTGCAGGCTATGGATGAGCCAGGAATGAGCCTCCTGGACCAGTCCGTGATCAAGAAAGGTAAGGAATGGCGTGCATCTGTCAGGGCAGAACCGGGCGAGATGGTGCAGGTCCTGGGCACACAGACCCATTTTCTTTCCCATGGAGCGTGTCTTCTTTGGTGGCCACTGGCACGCTCCCAGTAGAGCAGCAGTGGAGGCTGGGCGGCCTGGCCAAAGCTTGGGCAGCTGCATTGGTTGGTGAGTTGGCTCCAGAGCCTGCACCCTGGGGTGGGCCCGAGTCCATCAGAGCTCACTTGGCTGCCCAGGCCAGCCCAGCAACTCAGAGACCTGGCCTCTCGCTGCCAAGGGGAGGGCGCTCTTGTGGATCTGGAGTTAATTTGCAGAACTAGTTAAACCACTTCCCTGTTCCTAAGAGGTGGGAATGGGGGTGCTGCTCCCAGGGATTTTGTTAATATCCACCTTACAGAGCCTTACCATTTGTTAGCCTAGCAAACACTTTCTGCCCCTTCCTTCACAGAAGAAGGGCCTTGGGGTGGGGTGGGGGGGCTTGCATTTCCCTGGGGAATTTTCTCTCCAAGGGGGCTTCTTATGGCATTTAGGATTAGGGGAGCTGGTGTGTGAATACCATGTTAGGCTGTGTGCAGGAGTGAAGGCCCATTTGTTCCTCGGTGTCTATGTGAGTTTAGGGTCCTGTACATGTCTGTACGTTCCTTTCCTAGGTGTCTTTCTGACATTTCTTGGTGTATGTGTTTCTGTTGCTGTGTGTGATGCGTTTCTATTATGTTGGAGTACATTTCTGTGTGTTTGGGGTCTCTATGTGTGTGTCAGGGCCTCTGTTGTGTCCCAGTGCTTGTCCTTTGGTACTGAGGATCTCTAAGCATGTGAGGGTGGCTCTCTGTGTTTTGGGGGATGTTTATGTCTCTACACTAGTAAAAGCCAGGGATTTGAGACTTGCCTTCGAGTGGATTTTCCAGTCTGAAAACCGAGTTCTGGCCGTGCCAGGAAAAGGTGAGAAAGAGACAGAGACAGAGATTCTGAGGGGTCCATGCTTTGGGCGGGCTACTTAGATTTGTGGCAGGTGCCAGGGAGGAATTTGGAGGAGCAGACCAGCCCCCTGTGCCTGGGGCAGGTGCCGCTCCCGCGGGGTTTGGCTAGAGTTGTTTTTCAATAGTGAATTCAAGCCCAGGTTCAGTTTGCACTCCACGTGTTCCCAGGAGAGGCTGTGGTGGGGGTGGGGTGCCGGGGTTGAACTTCCAAGAACTGGGGCTCCTTTTCGGCCGGCAGAAAGTTAGCTGGACCGCCTGGAGTGTGTGTGGGAAGGTGAGGGGACAGGCGTCCTGGAACTTGGGGGAGGAGGGCTCCAGGTATTAGGGCTGTGTCACCTGAAACAGGTGTGAGAGGACACTGGGAACCCAGCTGCCTGGAGTGAGGGCAGAGGTGTGTTCTCAGGACCCAGCTCTTTGGAGCCCCCGCTGCTTTGGCTTAGTGGACTTTTTTCAACCGGTGGGAAGGAAGAGTTCGGACTGCAGTTAGTTGTCAAGTGCCTGCGACTGGGCTGGGTCCACCTGAAGATACAATCGTGGTTGCAGCACCCAGTTCCTGACTCTTGTCCGGCTGGAGAGGCTGGGGGGCTTAGGCTTACCAACTCCATGACTCCTTGCGGCCAGCCAATCCCCTGCGTTTTGGGAAGGGGCTTGGGGTCCTCTGCCCTGGAAAGGGTAGAAAGATCAACTGGGGCTCTGAGTGTCTTAAATCCCAATCCCCAGACCAGAGCCAGCACAAGAGACTGGCTACGAGGAGGGGCTGGAATTGCCTCGGAGTTGGTTTCTCTCAAGGGGACATCAGCTTCCATAAATCTTGGGTCCTAGGTGTGCGCCAGAATCCCCAAAGGCGGTCCCGAGAACACAGTGAGTGCGGCTGGGACTGCCCGGAGTGCTGTGCTCCGGCTCCTGGGGACAGATGTGGGCGGGGGGTGCGATGCGTTGCTTGCACGGGCACGGACACCTGCTGCACCTCAGTGTCAGCCTGTCGGTGGCCGAGTGCAGCGAGGTGGAGCTCCGGCGACCTGAGTTGGGGACTGCGCCCTGGGCACCACACTGTGGACATCAACTCACAGCCTGGGGAGCTGTGGAAAAGGAAGCGCCTGGTTCCCAAGCCCCCAGCGTGGCCTTCTTTGCTGGCGCAGCGGGCCTTTGGGGAGAAGAGAGAGGTAGTGCCGGCGCTTTCAAACTTTGCAATCACGGAAGCAAAGCTGGTGCCGCGAGGTCCCGACGTAGGGGATGTGTAGAAAGCGACCCGACAGAGCCGCTGTGGCTAACTAAACAGGTGGAGGAACCCTGCGCGCAGCGGGCGGTTTTGCCTGGGCTCTCCGCTGTCACTGCGGGGCTCCGGCCGCGCCACCAGCCCCTTGGGGGCCGTGGATTAGGTCCCTTCTTCGTCCTCAGGCCCTTCTGACGGCATCAGGAGCCCCTGTCGAGTCCTGAAGTCCTCTGGCACCAGGGGGCTGTGGAGGACCCCACTCCCGCCCGAGTCCTGGAATTGTGAAAAGTCATTCTTGGCTATCTGAAGCATCCCATTCGTCCAGCTCCTCCTGGCCCTGGAAGGAGCGGCGGCTGTGTCGCGGCGGTTGGAGTCCTGGGTGCGAAAGGGAAGCAGCCCCAGCCCTACCCCAGGAGCGGCTTTCCTACGGCGGAGGGCCGCCTGGCGAAGGGGAACTGGAAGCTCTCCGGGCCGAGACCTGGGTTGTAAAATCTCCTGTACTCCGGACACTTGTCCTGGCGGGGAGGGGAGCTGAAGCCCCTGCCTCACGGCACTCTTCCATGTCGGCCACCCCTTGCAGCCACGTATGGGTCAGGGGACGGCAGACGGGGCACATGCGGACCGGAGGGGAAGCCGGGAGCCCTCCATTTTTTGCCCAAAAATTTCACCTCCAGTTTTGTGACCTGTCCTAGGGGCATAGAAAGCAGGCGGGACTGGCAGGGGAGACAGACCTGGACAGGAATATTTTCCAGCGGCGAAAGGCAGTGAGTGGGTCTGTACAGGTCTGGGTGGGAGCTCAGTAGAGGAGCGGTGAGTGCCTGAGGTTGGGAAGCTTCCCGGGGGAGAGATATTAGGAAGCAGCTCCATAGGTGCTCAAGGGTGTTTGCTGAATGAATGACTGATGGTTTTTGAAGTCTGAGTGCACTGGGAGAGGGGGTGTAGAAAGGGCCAGGCTGCTTTCACCACACTAGGTGCAGCATGTACAAATGCCCTCACCTGTGGACGAGACCGACAGGTTCAAGTTTTCCCTGGGTTTCAGGTTAAACAGTCGGGAATGGTTTGGGGATGAGAACTGAGGTATCCCTCCTTCTCTCTGAGGAAAGCGGGTTGCCCAGTTGGGAGTAGGGAATCTCTCTCTGCTGAGCTGTGTTGTCCAATCTCAGGGCTTCTCCAGGGCAGCAGCGGCTGAGGCTGATGTAAATTGTCAGCCTCTCCTCTGCTCTCTTTGTTGCTGTGGAGGAAAAAGGGAGATGGGGAGGGTCTGGGCTTCCAAGTGAATCTGCAAGCAGGGCCAGGCCTAGGGTGAGGTACTCACGTCTGAGTAAGGCACCACCTCCGAGGCAAGGTTTAGATAAATAATATATCTTAAGGTGATATGTTAAGACAAAAAGTAATGTGGGGAGGCGGTTTGTCACTTTGTGAGGGGTGAAAAGGATAACTGTTGCATTGTTTTGTACACCTGAAACTAAAAAAAAGAAAAGACACACACACACACACACACACACACACATACACACACACACACACACGCACAAAGACTTCTCATAGACACTAAAGAACTTAGAAATATTTACATTCAAGAGGGGCAATAAAATTTTACAATGAAAAATAAGTAATGCAAAAAATCCATGATAAACAAAATATCAAAAATTTACATAAAGACAGAATCTGACCCTGTCCTTCCACCACCCTGCCTCGCTTGCCTCCCAGGCAGGTCATTGTCTGCCCCAGAAAGAGGCTGAAAGTGCCCAAGCAGATAAGAGTTCGGAGGGTAGCTGAGGGCAGTGGAAAGCAGGGGAGTAAAATGTAGGAGCTGTATGTTAAAGGAAGCTGCTGGCAGCTGGTGAGAAGGAAACTTAACCAGCTGGTCCCACTGGGGGAGATGGGCTGGGAGGAGGAGGAGGGTCACTATCCCTCCTGTCTGCCTTCCTCCTGCTGTTCCCCCCTCCACCCCACCCCAAGGCTTTGGACCAGTGCTACTCTAAGTGTGGTCTGAGGAACCACGTGCATCAGAATCCCTTAGGGGTACTTGTTTAAAAATGCAGATGTCCCAGGTACCAACCCACACCTACTAAATGAGAATCCCTGGAATGCCCTGGAACTTGCATATTTTACCGGATCTATTGAAGTAACATTTACCTAAAATTCACCCATTGTAAGACTATAGTTTGATGATTTTTAGTAAATTTATAGAGTTAATCTTAACCATAATGAATTTTAAGACATTTCCATCACCCCCCAAAACTTCTTCATTCCCATTTGTAGTTAATCCCCATTCCCACCCCAAATCTTAGGCAACCACTGATCTGCTTTCTGTCTATAAATTTGCATGTTCTGGGTATATTATAGCAATGGAATATATAAATATGTAGATTTTTTTGTATCTAGCTTTTTCACTTAGCATGTTTTCAGGTTCCTCTGTGTTGTAGCTAGCATGTATCAGTAGTTGGTTTTTCTTTTTTTTTTTTAAAGATTTTTTTATTGGGGAATTGGGGAAGGGGAACAGACAAGTTGCTGTTGTTTTGTTCTTCAGTCTAGTTGTGGAGGATGTGGCTTCACTGGCACAAACTGGCACCATCATTGCGCTCTTCCCAGGGGAGGCAGATCAGTCGCAGGCCTGTGGAAGGCCGCTCATGCTGGCTGCCGGCTACACATGGTAGCCCATGGCAACCCACTGCAGCAGGGGCTGCAGTCTATGCTGACACTGCGACCCATGGCAGCCCAGCCCCAGGTCGAGCTGCCATTCACCATCTTAGCTGCAGAGGGCAGTGTCACTGGCCCTCATATGTGGGATCCGAA